CTTCAAATGGCTTCCTGCCCAGTAGATGGAAAGAGGGGTTTGGGTTGGGAGGAAGAAGCTATACAGATCGAAGGAAAAGTAGAACAAAGGGAGGGGTACGAATCACATTTGTTCGAACGTCTTCTCTCTTTTGGCAGTTTTAGAGTCATCGGCACGTCAAGAATGGTGCTAACGTTTTCATTTTGGTCAAATCAGGGATTCAGAGCATCCACACGATCTCAGTCGTCAATGTCCTGAAGCCAAATTTTATCTATGTTATCTCACAAATGGTCGTGCGCTGAACCAATAAATAAATAAACATGTTTTATCTATTTTCACACATTGAATCTACTTATTTTCTCAGATTCTTCTCTTGACTTCGGTTCCAATTGCATTTCAATATATGTATTTTCACATTACATTAGTAGAAATATATCATGCCTATTAGAATTAGTCATCACATAGTATTGATCGACATGCATGATTATCTTACCAATGTTTTATTCCAAATGTTGTGTTGTAATTCAGATATTGATTTAATATTTCTTAGGTTTTTGTTGCAAGTAACTATATAATTCCTTGTTACACTTCTACTACAATTGCCATTGACATCACTGGCTGGTTGGCGATACTTCATGTGAGGTTGATGAGGCAGCACCAGAAGTTTGATACTCTACTGGATGGTTGATAATTGTCTTATTGGAAAGGCAAGTGCTATAAAATTTTGTTCAATTGGAAATGGATTGTGCTATCAAGAGACTACAGTATATGGGTGGTTTTATGTATCGACAGTGCAACTCTCACCGAATTTAATTTGTATTCTCTTGCTCCAACAAGGTTTCATGAAGATGTGCAGTAGATAAGGTATTTTTCAAATCGAGGCACACTTATTATTCCCCAAGAGATCCCTAAGTGGTACTTAATTTCCAGATACTTCAAGTACATTGACTTTTTTTGAGGAAAAGATAAAAAAATTCCATGGGATTATTTTCACCATCAATTTTAGTTCGGACGATGACAGTTCATAGAATGTTAGATTGTCCATTGGGAAAGTTACTGAACTACGATGGACCAGACTAAAAACTAATCGTGTTTTACACAATAAAAAAAGATGGAAACAAACAATTGTTCTTCTTCTGTATAGATATGTTGCACATGATAATTCAAAAGATGAATTTCTATATATGTTTATGTTTGCATATTATGAGAAGATGGAGATGGATTATGTCGATGTTCAGAAATAATCCATTCGCGAGGGTCCTAAAGCGATGTCATTGGAAGGGGCCAAAAATTCACGGAGTTTTATATAACAAATACAAAAGTAAAAAATTATAAGGCCCGTGGCAACGCACGGGCACTCTACTAGTTGTTTTAAAGCGCCTATTCACCCCCCCCCCCTCTATGCGACATCCACGTCCTTTCAATGATGAAAACATATTGAGAGACATCCATACCCATAAATTAAGAGAATTTCATGTAAAATGTTCTGAAAGTTATGTATGTTATTTATGAAATTGAAGTGATTACTTTACAAAGATTCAAGTGAATATGTCTTATTTAGCTTGTAGAGGCAAGTCAATTAAAGTTCGTGTTGTTATTAAATAGTTTGCAAGAACTAAAGAGAGCGAGTGTGTTATGGTTGTGAAGGAGTTAATGATATCCAATGGGAGCAAGTGTTCTAGGCAATTGACAATTTTGTGATAAAGTAGTTGTCATTATTAGAGATTGCTTTAATGGAAATGCAAAAGTTTATACCTATGTGTTTTCTATCCAATGTCCCCACAATGCAAAAAATGGTGAGGCATGGACTAGGTCGTAGAGTAGTATAATAGAGTAGGGTAGACAAGGCATTATGTAAGATGTAATATGTGTTTCCCCTCACAAGTGAATCCCGTTTCTATTTCTTGGGTGGAACCTAAGGTTACATGTTGCAAAACCAATGACTCACATGTACTTATGACTAAACTCCCAAAGGGCAACACGCCTAGAAACTAGAAATTATTAAGGTAAAAATCGATCATAACTTAAAGATCAGGGGTCCCCATAATTCCATATGCTATAACTCCGTACTAGTGGGATATGATTTCTATCACTCGCCCATCCCCTTCACCCTTCATCATAACGCATTAGATAACATATGGGTTCCCATAATACACGTGCGCACTCATACAAAAGCCACAAAGGATATAGAAATTAATACTTCCACTTTTTTATATAAGGACACTTCATATTTTTTATGTCTAACTTTGACCATTAATTGTACCAACAAAATTGAGTTATGCCACAAAAAGTATGCCACTGCATGCACATTCCAAAGAACTTTATGATGATATATTTTTATGGCATATAACCTATATTTCGTTGACCAAAACTATAAGTCAAAGTTTGACAAGAAAAACAAACTGACCTTGTATACAAAAATAGAACGAGTAATGTACATATGTGCAACCAACCTTCATACTATGTCACCAATGCCATCAAACAAATAACTAATCAAACATAGAGGTAAAGATGAAATAAATACTAGGGAAATAATTCCTAACACAATCATGTTTGCCTAAGTATTGAGAAGCTTTGTGATGGAGAAGCCCCAATACAAAGGAAGAAGATTGTCGTGGAGATGGATGAATGCAATGGTGATGATGGCAGTGCCCCTAGAGGAATTCTGACATAGCCGTAGGAGAGGAGGAAGATGCCCCTCCTCCTCCTCCTTTCTGATGTTGAAATATGGCCCCTTGACTCAATTTAATTTATTCCCAAAGACCTGTAACTCCCAAAAATCTGAATATAATTTGATGGTATCATCTCTTTCATAGAGTCCTTTGTCTAATCTTTCTATTATATCTACTTTATCTTCTAGTGTGATAATCTCTTGTAGATTTTTTATGCTTAGATTATTTTCCGTTGTGTTGTACCGAGAGCTTTCAAGTTTCAAAACAATTCTTAAATCAACCATTCACCCCCCCCCCCTTCTGGTTGATAACTATTGGTCCTACAGGACCTACCGCCAACACATTGAAGCCTCTCACATCATTCTTTCAAGTGGTGGGACCTCCTAGGAGCCCACCCATGGCAACCTAGACGCGACACTACGTGTACTAGACTTGCACAAACTGGCAGCCCACACCCTAACATCGACGCCACATATCAATAGATGAGTACTGTGGGTGGTACTAGGACAAGAGAGGAAGTTAAACCGACATTTTTCTATATTACTTATTAAAGTAGTGCTCCGTCTATCTGTGCACCGAAAGTGTGTCAGAAAATGGATATGTATATCTTCAACTCTATCTTTCTTAGGCTCTTACGTCTCCCATGCACCGAAAGTGTGTCGGGAAAAGGATATGCATATGTTCAACTCTATCTTTCTTATGATCTTATGCATCCTACAACTCGTGAGGTCATGCCCTATCATTCAGAAAAGGCGGTCGACAGGATTTGACCCACAGTTTCCTATTATTCCAAATAACGCAGTCCCTATCTATCTAAATATCTATCTGTAGTGCGACATGCATCTTTAGGCACCAATCCTACTTAAATATTGGGCATGGAAGTTGTACTGGCCAGAAATTGATATTGCTCTGTGTGATCATCCTATAAAGCACCCCTTTGTTGCCCGCACAAAGAAAGAAGCATTGACCCCTATGATCTAGGAGGATTCACAGAGCAACAAGGCTATCTGGTATGCTTTTCATAGTTATAAAGGGCATTCTTCCATTGAAATTTTGTAGGCATACTATGCATAACTTGAAATTACGAGTTCTTATATTTTGTATTATCAAAAATCATAGCTTGTTTTTTGGTACATGCTCGCACCAAAGAAAGGATTGTCGTTTGTGTTTGTTGGCACGGTTCCTGGACTTATTTTCTTTCCCTACATACTATATATGTTTGACCATTTTTTCTTGGTTTTGCACATCATAGTGTCCTTTATGGTAGATAAGCAATTATGTTTGAGAAGTACTCAAACTAGGTTATTTCCTTTATGTTTTCAAGTATACATTAGTGGATAATTGTGTTCTATTTGTTCAGTTTTATTATGTTCAAATATTGAATTGAAAATAGTCGATTTGAAGAAAAAGGACGACTAAAATTTCATCTTTTATATCAGACATGTGTCACTTTCTTTGTCGTCAGAGTTTTTTTCACATGAAAGTTCGGAACAAGAACTTGAACAAGTTTTAGAATTTTCTATTAGATTATAGAAAATTTATCCTAAAATGGCTCAGTTAATCAAAACTTTCCCTCTTCTAAAGTGGAAGATCTTTTTAACTTGATTGACTAGAAGTAGAAGATCTTTTCTTGTTCAATAGATAAAATGCTCACATGTTCACTAAAGGATCAGAACAACAAAACACTAAAGTCATCATTTATCTATGTGAAACATATAAACTAATCCATCCATGTTATTTCTGTGAAACATACTCTCTTTCTTGTCATTGCTTTTTCCTAGTTAGTTTAGTTTTCACTTTTGGAAAACTAGGAATACTTTGGAATATATAACATGTTTGTTCCCAGATTTGTGTCATGGTTGATAATAGATCATTCTTGTTGTTAAAAAAATATTTTTTTATAATAATCACACCACTCTGAAAACAAAAGAAACTTCTATTTAGATGCTATAAATTTGTTGTAGTAGTTGGAAGTCTGAAGTTCACATATAGACTTATGAATATGCATATATGTATAGTCATCCGAGGCTTAAAATATCCGTGTATACACTGATAGTTATTCATGTATATATTTATATAGGAGGCAATTTGTTTCTTTTCACATAATAAAACATCATATTATTCCAGAGGTGTTAATTGTTTTGATACATACACTTTATTGGTTCTACAGTCATATTGGAGAGCATTTCATCGGTGTCAACTAAATGGATGGAAACTCAAGATCTTCATCAAAACAAGCCAAGTTGTTGGTCATGAAGATGAGTCCTCAGATTAAGGTCGCAAAGTGACAACACAAAACCATATAAATTTATTTTTGTGCGTCTTAATCTTTTAGGCACCAACAAACATTTATGTGCTTTTTTATCATGCAAAATTCTTTAATCTTATCAAGTGTATAATATGTTTTTGACATGCCACAATGTTATTGTTGTTATGTAGTCTTGATTGCAATAATAAATATTGATATTTAGCACGTTATCATAGTTAAATATAATACTACCAATATACTAAACTAGTTAATGATATTCATCACAGAAGCTCTCCATCAAGCAACAGAATGAGCGTTTGGAGATTGAGAACAAAATATTGGCGATTGAGAACCAAAAAATGCGCGAGGAGTTGAGGACATACCGATGTGCTGCTTGCTTGAAGATTGAAAATGCCTGCCTGAAAGTTGAGGTTTGCCAAAGTAGATCCAAGACATATAACGATATACTGTAACACTTCCATCGTGCATTATTTCTAAATCATGACTAGAAAATATAAAACTGAATAATATATTTCTACTATATTGGATAGACAAACGCCCAATGGCTAAAATTCTTGCATTATAATAACACAAAAACATTAAAAAAATGTGTGAAAGAAAATCTGCCAACATGACACATGGGACATGAGAATATATTTCTTATTGTTAAATATGATGATGATAGATATATGGAATTTGAAATATAATGCAGAAGTGAGTGTTATTTACATGTTCAAGTCAAACTAATTGCACCCATGTCAGCATATAGATGGTTTATGAAGTAGTCTTACTCATTTTAATGTGTACCTAAAGAAATGTTTATATTCCACGGAACGGTTAAATTAGGAAATTTATTTAGCTTCCTAGTTGACCCAATAATGTGACCATGTAGCACATTCGACATCTCTTGGCTAGGAGTAAAATTTAAGGTCTGGATTAATCATTAGCCTCCTACCATCACAGGGATCAGTAGTATTTCCGAAAATACCTAAAAATAGTCAACACTTACTAAAAGTAGCACCCTATATAACGGGAAAGCAACTTTCAACACCCAATGAGATATTGAGATATATCATCCAAAATGCTTTCCTGCGCGTACCAGGAGGGGGCGGGGAGTATGTTCGAAATTGTTTTTTAGAATGAATCAAGTTTGCGACTATGCCACTTCTCACTACTCATCACAGGATAAATAAGAAGTTTATATTTAGTTGCACCAGATATGCCTAAGTGCAAACAATATAACCAGAATCTTGATAATATAGGATCTAAAAACTACACCAACATAGATGGGAAGTATGATTCCAGAGATATAAATTATTACGTATGTGTGTGGAGACTACTGTTCAAGTGTTTATACAAAAGTTAACACATTTACTTTGTGAGAAGTTCATTTTGGTTGATTGTTGCAGTTTGATATACTTAGATGTTGCCTCTGATTGAATACTTTCCCAATCAATAAACATAAAATATTTGAATATTCATTATTATTGACATAAGATTTACATACTTACATGTTTAACTTAGAATTCAGCACATAAGAAATCCATAAATGAAGAAAAAATGAGAAACTGAAGCTTGAGAACACAATGTTTTTAGCACAAAACCATCATACCAGTTTAGAATTTTATTATTATATACTTTCTACTTCAAAACTCAACAAACATATAATTCAATGTAAAATGTTTTTAGAGGAGATATATGAAAACATGTAGTCCAATCAAACAATGAAGAGTGAAGATGCTTTATATAGATTATGAAAGTAAGTTTTCAATTAGATAGGTATAAATTAACTTATTATATCTCAAAAACGACGAAAACATATTGAGAAACATCCATACCAATAAATGAAGAGCACAACATGTAAAATGCTCTTTTATTCCCTTGAAGCAATGAAGTTATGTATTAATTACCAAATTGTCCAAAACAAAGATACATCACTTTATAGTTCCTCTAGTATGTTAGTGTTGTGTTCTTGTTTCTAGCATACTACTTACGATTGAAAGCCATAACTTTATTGTTTTTGAAATAGTTGTTGGCAATAAACTGAGCACACAAAGAAAACATAATAAGTACCTTCCTTGGTAAATATTTATTATTGAAACCAGAGGAAAAATCTTGGTCTTGGTTCACCAAACGAGAACAACATATTCTATTTTTTAAAATGAGAGGAAACTAAAGATAGAACATGTTGAGTCATCGACAAGCTAGCATCACCATCATTTATAAAGATGACAATGCAAACAGGATAAATTTGACACACTAGATATGCATCCATCAATTCTCATCGTCTATTAATGTCATTCAGTCATTGTCATAGGTATTGCGTCAATAGGAAAAGTGAAATCCTAGCTTTCCCTAGAACCAGCTTCTTACTATCCTACCCCGTGGAGTTTTTCGGGGAAGTCAAATCAAAGATGAAACTACCTAATGGTGTAGGTTTACCATAAAACACTAGACTAGAGAATCAATATGTGGTTGAATGATTATGCGGGTGGTCCTACCCCTGGTTCACCAGAGACTAAACCCTAGGTTTAACGTCAAGTGTATCGTTAAAGAGGGAATATTCTTTCGGTGGGAGACGACATTCTCATAGATAGTGAATCATAAAATTTCATCAATCTTAAAATTTTGCACTATGGTATTTAGTAGGCCCTTTGTGGTGACGATATGGGTGATGGTGTGCATGTGTATGTCTGTGCATGTTGTATTTGTGTGTTTTCAGAAACTAGACTATTGCCTACTCAACAGTTGTAGGTGCGCATGGACACATGCTAGGATGGCCATAGCTGTACACTCAGTCACTCACATTGGTAGCACGTGTTGGTTTGGCTTCTCTAGCTACCGAAACATATTGGATTGGCTGTCACATTTTGATATCAACGAAAAAGATTTGGAGATAACGTCTTATGTATCCAAGTGGGCTTTGTAAGCCCACTAGTGTGTGCCCCGAACTATAATGTTGGCTTGTTTTGATAATTTTACCCAAACTAGTCCTTTTGTATCTAGCGTGAGACACATCTCCATTTGCCAACATGCTGCTAAACATGGTTTTCTTCGAATTAATTAACATGATCAGTCCAAGCTACATTCAGTTCTTTATTTCCTGCTAAGATGCACTCTATCTAATGGCTTGTTCTATTGGCTACAAAACTTGGCCGCATCTTCAAACTTTCACGTCCTAATAAAGTGCATAGCATAAATAGCAAATACGTATTTCTTACAATCCAAAATATTTGAGATAGAAAAAACGACTATAAAGAATTCATTGGGGTCTGTGCACCAAAGCTGATTCGTGTTTCAAGAATCAATATATAGTTGTATGTGGTCTGCTTTGTTAATTATTTTTGCCTCGATTTCTTCACATTGCACACCACAATTTTGCAAACATCAAGGCTTTACTTCATGGCGTATTGATCATTCTTGCTAGATGTCTGGTCAAGCTATCAGACTTACATGTATTGTTTTTTGCAGCTTGCACGCTCGTTTCGTAATGCTGCTACAATTCTAGAAGCTGAAGCACAATCTGAACTGGAGGTTGGGTTTTCCTCTACAGCACCCCAGATTCCAGCGGATACTAGCGCAACTGGACCACTCCAGCCTAGTGCAGCAGGGGGTCAAGATGAACCATGCGAGTAATCAACTAGCAGCAATTTATTAGCTATAGTTACAAATACCTATATACATACAGAATAAAAGTTCCAAAGACTCGGTGTGTTAGTCATTTCAATTACAATAAGTGACACTACAAGTCCATTGTGTCTTGTAGTTAAGCACCAAAACCTTTTTATGTGTTACTGGTACTTGAGAAGGTTGTATGCCTTCTCATCTCTACCTTATACATTTGAAACATGGGATATTATATTGTGTTTGTACAATCTCCTATCCTATAAATATGTTACTTATTTATCTATTTTTGTGAGGGAATTTGTTATTTATTAGTTGCGATTGCTAAGTTTTTGAAGTATGTTTATGCGCTATTTTTTGAAGTGTTGTCCATATACTTGAGAAGGTCATGAACCATGCCGCGAAAAAGGATGGTGCACAAATGGGCTTGATTTAGAAACAAAAAATAGGACTCCATATAGTTTATACTCTAGAAATCTGTCACGATATAATGATGCGGTCAAAGAATAGATCTTCCTTTGTCTAGGAAAAAACACCGATCCAAGTGTGCAGTGGTCCAAAATTTCTGGTGGTGCAAACTCGAGTACATTTCAGTTAAGTTCTTATCATGTGCCAAATTTTCATGGAATATGTAGCCTGAATTTTACAAATGATATCTCGACTTGTAGTTCAGATATATGGAGAAGTAGGGGTTTGCCAATCTTTGAACAATGAATTCTGCTAATTAACAAGCACTGACAAGTTCAAACAAACATGAGAATGTTCAAAAATAAAATCACTATAACGATGGCTATTCAATTCCCGGCTGCCAAATACTACCCAAAAGAGTCTTCTTGACATCCTTTGTCAAAATCGAACCATCCAGTGAAAAAACTGCTCGATTTTTCTACATTGCGTCTCATCGACAACATTCCAAAAAAAAGCTACGCAAACTTCAAGTATAAAACATCAAGGAGAACAACGTGCCAAGCGTAGCAAGCATGCGGTACCGAAAATCTCAACAACACTCCAAGGAGAAATTAGATTGGGAAAAGGGTATGAGTAGACTGTTCTGAGATGATGTATTTTATGGTTCAACCTTATGCTTTGACCAACAATATTAGGGTTCAATAGTATGGTTATGTTACACAAAATTGTTGACACTATTACAGTGGGGTATATATGTGGTCTATCCTTAATTGCTCCAACTATTCTGTGGTGCAGCTGACAATCCATCTTGACACTAAGGGTTGATTGATAAAAACTATACCTTAAATAAAAGACACATTTGTAAATATGTGGAACATATAAAGTAACTCTTAAGTCACTCCATATGCTACTTCACAATGGGAAAACACGATATTTGTGTGACTTCAGACAACTGAATTTTAAAACTGTGGTTTACAAAAATCCTAAGAAAATATAGTTGTAAATTATCAAAAGCATCATGGATCAGCATTGGGCCCAGCTGGGCTTAGGTGGGCTGGCGGATCTAGTGCGCGGTGGCAGGCTGGCGCGGTGGGCCTGACGTAACCGGCTGCTCTGGCACCGTGTTGGTGCCGTGGCCGGTCAGGCGGCGGCGGCTGGTTCCTTTTGGTATGGTCCCTGACATAGAAGGTGGCGATGCGTGCACAAAAAGTTGGATGGAGTTCTTCAAACAGATCTGGGTGAAAACCTGCTCTCGGCTAGATGCCAAGGTTGTCGATGGCGGTGCTCTTCGGTGTCGTTCCCTTCTTGGAGGCATCGCCGTGGAGAAGTTCTAGGCCAACATCTGCTACCTCCGGGGGAAACCCTAGATCAGCAGATCGGAAGACGGTGGTGCTCTTGTGTCGTTTCCTCCTTGGGGGCGTCGTTCTTGAAGGTGTGCATGGACTCGAGGGACCAGTGGACCGCAACTTTGGTGGAGCGGTGCTTCATCCTACACATTGATGGTGACGGATCTCGGCAATGTGGCGCGGTGCAGATTCGACGTCCGATATGCGGGGATGGACTCGTGCAGAAGGACGACGCTGTCTGACGTCGTGGTGGCATCGATAGTAGAGAGGCCTAACACGGTCGATGCATCAGTTTCTGTTCTAAAGATGGATCGATGGAAGACGGTGGTGTCGGGCCTTGTAGGGTGCGCATGTGGTGCCCGATGTGTGTGTGTCGGACCGGTGTGTGATCTAGTCCAGGTATGTGGCTAGGCTAGGGCATCCGGCGTTAGATGTTAGGCTTTGGTGCAATGTATGTTTGGTATTAGGCTCAGACATTCGGCACCCCTTCATCAAAGGGATAGGAGTAGCAACATGTGTTGCCTGAATGGTGGCTTCAGGCGTACTGATGTATTACTTTGTAAGGTCTTTGAGAATAATTAATAAAATGGCTGCATGCATCATCCAGATACACAGGCCGGGGTACATCCTCCTTTTTTTTAAGATTCCACTAAGGAAGTCCCCAAGATCACTATGCACAACATCATCTTTGGTCTCGCATGAAGACAGGCAAATCCATCCGTTCCTTTTTTTTGCGGGGGAAATCCATCCGTTCCTGGAAATGGCTCGGCGGAGGAATGACACCCTTTTTTAGAACGACGGTCTGTGTCACAGAGGTTGGTATTTTTTTTCATACTACTAAATCAGCGACAATTAATATGGATTGAAGAGAGCACATTAATGATTCAAAATAATTGAATTGAATTTTCGCGTACATATATGGACGCGATGAGAGCCCTGCCCTACACGGCATTCTTTACTGTGCTGATGGTGAATATGTAGCGTTACGTGTGGGGCATCGCGTCTTATTGTGGAGCTGTCTCGTGTCATACATGAGAGGTACGCCTAGGATTCTACGAAAGTGCCATAGCGTGGAACATATACGAGTCCCGAAGTACTCCCTCCTTCTCACTATATAAAACGCCTTTGCAAGCTAAAACAGCTTGCAAAACATTCTTATATTATGATTTTTTTTAACTATGATTGTTTTCATAACAAATTCGAAAACTATATGACCTAATGCATAAAAATCGAAAATATGACCCTGTCGGCCACCTACTGGCCAAAGAGGACCTTTTCGATGAATTGTAGGCCGAAGAATGGTCTTGGCTCCCTTGTTGGCCGAAGATAGCCGGGACAGGGCTGAAAAGCTGTTTTCGGCCTTCTTTTGGCCGAAGAGTGAACTTTAGTCATCCCTAGACCGAAGAGTGCTCTCGCCCTAGCTCTTTGCGTAAACGGTAGGCCGAAGTTGCATGGTAGCTCTCTTCGGCTTTTGTTAGGCTGGAGTGTTTTTTTTTTGCAATTTGACTTATGAATCATGTACAACCATTCTTCGTCTTAGACATTGAAAAAATATACTTTCCCGCCAACCCTTTCTCTCCATATGTTCCCGCCAACCTTTTCCTGCCAACTCTTTCCCGCCATTCTTTCCCGACATCTTTTTTTCTCAACCTATAAAAAACCCTCCGCACTAAGGTGGGTAAGCAGTCAAGTGTAGTCTCGTCAAGATGTCCAATTATCCTTTTGATCGTAGTTTTCACCCTAGGATGAGCCAATGTCTTCTGAGATTAGCCAGCAATTTCAAGATAGACAATAGGATAGTTTCATGAGACGAACTCCTCAGTAGTGACACCCTATTGAATGAGTTAGGTCACACATTAAGTGGGTGTGGGTGGCCTGCAACAACCTATGAGGAGATACGGAAAGAACTTCTCGGGTTGCATGGAAGATGAAAGAAGCAACAGCATAACAGTGCAACTTCCCTAAAGGTTGTATCAGAGCATACTTATATATGGACTGCCGACAACGAAGGGAAAACGATATCATCTTCATACCGAGCACCAAGGCCAAGAGTACCGCATCGTCGAAGGGGAAGAGTGCTGCATCGACGAAGGATGAAGATGATGCCTTCATGTAGTTTGTAAGCTGTATTATTTAAGTTCAGCCCTACCCTTTCATTCAGATGTACTTGTATCTTAATTATCTGTTACAGTCTCTTTGGAAATGTAAATGGAATAACAATGCAAATTAATAGTAATATGTCTTGCGTACATAGGTAGATATATGTCTCCTGATCAGATAGAAGCAAGTGCCATAGTAACACATACATGAAGCACGTCTCATACATAGATAATGACTCACACATGAGAAAAGCCTGAAACTAACATAGATAATGACTCATACATAGATAACCATATCACTGTTGGGGACGACGATGAATATGGGTCTTCCTAGGACGAGGACTGAAAGGCGATAAGCGCTCAGGCGCTGGGCGAGGCTCACGATAACCACGACCACTACTAGGAAATATCTTATAGGTAGAATATTAGTAATAGCAGTGGTTAAGTCCACGGCGCTACTGTTAAGTACCAGTAGCGCTAGGATTAACATGCGCTACTGGTATAACTTAGCAGCGGTGCGGTGTTGCTATAGGGCGCTACTGTTAAGTGGGCCACACCGCACACCAGGGTAGGAAGATATTAGCCCACTTAGGAGTAGTGTGGGCACCGCACAGGTGCTACAGCTAATGGGCTTAGCAGTAGCGCTAGCCCGTACCTAGCGCTACTAGTCAACCACACACAAAAAACCGTCTGGCAAGATCGCGACAACCACTCTCTCTTCCCTCGATCTGGCTAATATTCTAGGGTTGCTCCCAGCCGCCACCGCCGTCGCAGGTCCACTCGTCACCGGCGGGTAAGTACTCATCGCCATCCGCTGCTCCTCCCCCTCTCGCAGCCCCACTTCGTCGCTGCCCCCACTCGATCTGGTCGCCTCCTCATGATGCCTACTATGCAACTTTATTCTTGTAGACACGTGTTGGGCCTCCAAGCGCAGAGTTTTGTAGGACAATAGAATTTTCCCTCAAGTGGATGACCTAAGATTTATCAATCCGTGATAGGTGTAGGATGAAGATGGTCTCTCTCAAATGACCCTGCAATCAAATACAAGGAATCTCTTGTGTCCCCAACACACCCAATACAATGGCAAATTGTATAGGTGCACTAGTTCGGCGAAGAGATGGTGATAAAAGTGTAATACGGATGGTAGAAATATATTTTT